CCTAAATTGAAGTTGCATGGGAGCATGCTTTATTTGCGTGTGATAGACCAGTTTTGTCCAACCTTGGCCTCTTTAAGATGAGTGGACTTCAACTCCAAGAATCCCCCCAGCCAGTGAAACAGGGAATCTATCACAGGCAAATACAGCATGCTCCCATGCAACTTCAATTTAGGATTGACTTCTGCCAATTAAGTGTTGGTCAAACAGAGAATGTAGCCAAGGCCTTCAGTATCATGGTACCAGGATAAAGGGAAACAAATTTCAGCACTGTAGGTTCATGATGGCTGGCTGGGGAATTCTGGGAGTTGAAGTCCACTCATCTTAAAGTGGCCAAGTTTGGACAACACTGGTCTATCACAGGCAAATACAGCATGCTCCCATGCAACTGCTGGGGGGATTCTGGGAGTTGAAGTCCACTCATCTTAAAGTGGCCAAGTTTGGATAACACTGACTTAGACAAAGAAAAAAAACCACTGGTGCAAATGTACTAATGTGTAAGTGGACCAGTTGCATGTACCAGTGGATAATTTGGGAAGAAAAAAGAAAAAGCAAGAGACGGGTAGATAATTAAGAAGAAAACAAAACAAAAAAATGGGTTGCCTTCTTAACTGATTAAGCAACCTGAAACAGCTTATTTTCTCTAGATATCTCACCTTTCCAAAGGTGATTCAAACATAAGTTAGTTTATACCTGCTAAATTTTTAAAGCTTAGTTTGTTTGAAAAGGACAGTGATATAAACTTTCTAGAAATGCATTGTTCTATACTCAGATCCTAAGAGCTTTAATAAACTTGCAATATCTTACGGGTTTGTGTTTATTTTTTACAAAGCCTCTAAGCTGTGTTTGATTCTTGATGTCTTCATGGATCTATTGGACTGTTAGAAAAATGTCTGATTTAGTCCAGGCAGTGATAGGCTTCCCTTTACTGGCTACGTCCAAGCAGAGGCTAGACAGCCATCGGTTTGGGATACTTTAATTTGGATTCCTTCACTGAGTAGGGACTTGAGATTTGGACCTCATAGAATTTTCAATTATAGAAATGTATTCATTCCTATATTTAATCATCTATACTCACCAGCACAAGAAGCAATTACCATCAGATGGCTGTTTTCCATAAAAACAGGGGCACGAAAATATTAAACTGTTGGTTTAAGCAGTATTCAAGGATACCGATTGCTTTCTTGGAGTTATTTATTTATTTATTAGATTTACATCCTGCCTTTTCATTCAGGAGATAGAGAAAATAGCAAGAAGTTGAGAGCTCCAGATAAACTTCATGGTTCAATCTTTCAGAAATGAAAACAATGTGTATATGCTTTTAATAAACATTTTTAAAAAGTTAAATATAGCAAAGGGTCCTTTCCTCCACTCCTAACAACCTGCATAGAAAATCATCTTTTTTTCCTACAATACATGCTCACTTGTTGCTTTATTCCTTAAACTTCAAGGGGCCAGCCAACAAGCAGAGAACAACTGCTTTAAAAATGTAGATAGTGATTGGTCTTGGGTGGTTAAATGTCTGTCCTTTCCATAAGCAATTTTTTTTTTTTTGGCTTCTAATTTGCTCTGGGGAGGCTGATCAGACTTATAGGCAGAAATATAATAGAATCTCACTCTAAACATGTTTGTTTGTTTCTGTATGAACATGGCCATTATAGTTCATTTAATATACCAGAAAAACAAACCTGATTTAGCAGAATATACAAACTCAGCCAACATTTGAGAGACAATTGTACTTTACCTGCTGGCTTCCTTTTCCTATAAACTGAAGAAGACAGACACATGATGGTAATGCAAAAAAGGTTAAAAATCCTGATACAAAAAACTGAAAAATGATATGGCATGGAAAATATTTCTAGTGTATTTTCTATGTTCAAGAATAGTACTGTAGAGAACCATTATTAGATCATCACCTCAGACAAAAGAAACTCAAGAGTAAAAGGTATAAAAGTATGTTGTAACAATGACATTAAACAAACAAAAAACCCCACAAGTTTTTCCTTATAACTAAACAATAATCTTTCTTTTCCCTCAAAAGGACCTACCATAGCTCTAGTCAGTTACCTTTGATGTCTCTGGAAGAAAAAATAAAATAGTTAATTAAAAAGATAACTGGTCTTTCATGAAATTTAGAAAGAAATAATATGAGATATGCAATATTTGTATTTATAGAGATATTATCAAAAAGCCTTATAATTTTATAAAACTATGGTGTTAATGTTGTTAGTTTATAGAGTGTGCTATTTGACTTTTTATTATTAGTTATGAGGATAAAGAAGTCTTATCAGAATTCCCAGGAGGAACTGAGATTCTATTACCCTTGAAAATTATACCTATTTCTTGCATCACTGGGCAGGGCCAAAACCACTGTTTATCTCCTCCATGGGAAGGTCATCCTTGTTCTTCATGCCAGCAGTGAAACACATTTGACCCCAAATAAAACAATGTAATGTGGGGAGGGGGCATTAACACAGTCATGGCAAAATCCCTACTTCTTTCTCCCAGTTAAGACCATCAGTGGAACAAAGAAGAAATTTTGCACTGTTAATATATCCAACCAGATCCCTACTTATATATCTTGAATACTGCCTACAAAAACCCTATATTTTGTAGTATCACCCTGTTAGTGACTGCATGTTTCTGGTAAATCAAAATGGATGCTTATTGTAAAGCAGATTAATCTGAAGTTGCCTTCTCACTCTTAATACTAAGACTATGATACAGTAATAGATTTCCTCTGATTATAATACCATTTAATTTTCCTCAGTCTTCCTTTTACAAATGCTTAAATGTTTTCAAATCCTTGCATCATCTTTGCTACCCTCTTCTGAAGGTGTTCTAACTTGCCAATATCCTAGATGTGTAGTGCTTCAAGTGTGGTCTCACCAATGCAGAATAAGTAAGGACTAAGCTGTCAAATCTCTGCTAAACCAGTGAAGCAATTAAAAATAGATGTTCTCTTGCCAATCAAGGAAATGTTAAGTAAATTAAGTGTCCTTCGACTTCCATATGCATTGGAACCAGAATTGGAGCTGTGAGTGGAGTGAAACACCTTTCAGAGCTCTCATTTACTGTCTGGGTGGGACAAGTCCAATGGAGTGAGCCCTCCCTGTCTCACTTACTGGTACACCTGATCTTGTCAGAGAATCTTTCTCTTCTGAGTAAAGATCAGGAGAATGCCTTTAACTGTGCTGATTATAGCTGCTATCTTTGATCAAGTAAATTAAACTGCTTTCATGAAACATCTCCTTGATGCTTTTGTCAGATTAACTGTCTTTATTAAAGCTAAATACCGTGGTTCTTAGAAGGGTTAGCATGCTGATACATAGCCATCTTCTTGGCTAGCAGCATTGACCTGGTCTCAGCTGAGTAACTGACTAGTACAGTAGGAAGAAAGAGAACTTTATTAGCACTAAATCAGCCCACAGATCTATTCATGCTGTTTATGATGAAAACCCATGATACTTTTCAAATGTTCCCAGTGTGGATGTTCTGCAAAGTATATTCACTATTTACAACAAGTGAAGCAGCTGTAACTGACTCTGCTCATTGTGTGGGTAAAATGCCAACTGCTAGTGTATCCAAGGCCTCAGTTTTATCAGTGACCTTGACAAAGCAAAGCCAAAATAAACAGCTTTTGCTGGTGGGCCAGGAAAAGAGTGTGATTTATCAGAGGTTAGCTTCATTAACTCCTTCACTATTGTACCAAAGGATGAGCAAATCAGAAGCTTTACAAGGGAAAGCTTGTAAAGATAGTTAATTTGTTTTGAACCACTTTCTGCTCACAGAAGCCTTTAACTTCTCAACTGGGCTATTGATGGCTAGCAAAGCAATAAATCCAGATATTCTTCCCAATAAGTCAAGAACTATTCAGTTTGGCAATATTCCAGTTTTAGAAATTAATCAAGAGCAAAAAAGCTGACCACAAGCACACTTAGACCTACAGCTACTGTTGATATAAAGACCTGCAAAGAGTTGTCAAGCAGACCCATTAGGAAGAGGAGTGCCTGAATGCCAGCTGAATTGACAACACATGTGTTCTCCAACTTGACAGAAGATAGGTCTTTGATACAGTTTAATGAATCTGAGATCAAAGATCTAGGACAGAGAAATGATTACTTTTGGATGATTATAGAACCAGCTTCCACTCTTATCCTGACCTTTTACCACTAACTACTGAATAGCATACTAGTAGCTTGTCAAATGCTGAAAAAGTATCCATAACAACATTTACTAGATGCACAGGACAACCACAATACTCAGAAGAGGAGCTGCCTCCAAACTGAGCAATATGTCTATCCCATGGAAATTACTCAGAGAAGATCCAAAAGGTTCCTCTTTCAAATCCCCAAGAGACAATAACTAATTGTCATCTTGAAGTACTGCTTCCAAGAGCTGAGAAGGAATATAGCTTTTTCTATAAATTACATTGCTAAATTTGTTGTTGTCTTGTTGCAACATATGTGATTTTGTGAAGATTTAAAATGTTTTATGTTGTTCTCTCTGAAGGCCACACCTACTATAAAGACAGGCCAGTGAGAGCCTAGACAGACCTTTTTTTCATTAAAATTATAGTAAACTTTTCACTCATTTGTCTTTAGTCGCTCTTATATACTTTCTCAATTCCACCACAGCAAGTTAGTGTTCAGGAAGTCTAGAATAAAACTAAAGCATATGAACTTATATCCAGAAGCTTTTGTTATATTAGTAAGGAATTACAATGCTGGGCAAAACAACTTATTACTGTAGTTCTAATTAATAGTTCCCCTCCCCCGCCCAAAAGAGAGTTTAAGTGTAAGCTGATGTCTATGAATATCATAGCATATAGCCCAATTGTCTAATAGACTGGACCTTTGAGTATTGCAGCAAACAGGGTCAGTGATGGGGAACATACACTGTGGACCACCAAGAGTGCTAATATTACAGATTACTATGATGTTTTCTATAACCTGAGTAATTTATTCAGTAGCTCAAGTTAATGTTGTCTGTTGACCTGACAGTGACCATTCCCCTTAACTTTAAATGTGGGTAAACAGAAGACATGTCTATATATTGAGTCTTGCCAATAATTCATGCTAACGTCATAGATATTCATATGATCTTGGTACCCTTCAGTTCCTTTAGATTATTCATCTGCCCTAGAGATATTGAGATGAAAATAAATACATATTCTTTGACTATCTTTCTGTCATTATTAAGTGGCAATCTTGCTCTTCCATCCTGCTGTTCAGAAGGGAACTTATATTGTTTTGCTAGAAAAAACTGAACTGAAATAGGAAATTTAGTAGTTTTGTCATCTTTCGTGCTCTTTTTGTTAGCAACTCAACTGGTTTACTGATTCTTTTCCTTTTATTTTGAACATATCGGAAGAAAACTTTCACTGTTCTTACCATTTTTTTCCTTTTTCTTCTTTGCTAACCTCAGCTCTTTTTTGTCTATAGCTTTTCTGATACAATCTATACATATACAAAGTATCAGCACATACATTTGCAGGGGCATCCATAGCAAATGGAAATTTCATCAAAATGGCAAAGCACGCATTGTGATATAATCAAAGTATGATGTACATAATCATAAGTACTTACAAATACAAAAAGGAGGAATTTGGTCATTTGCCTCCATTGACCTCAATGGATGCCCATGTACCTTTCCTTGGTGTCCTTTCCTTCTTTCCTCTTCTTTTTTTTTTTTTTTTTACTGTACATCTTAAGTTTTTGCATAGCCACATTGGTTGCTTGGTTGTTTTTTTTTAAATTGGAATTGCTTGTGATTGCTCTTTCCATACCTTCTTTTTTTTAGAATTCCCATTCATCTTGAGCTCTTTTTCCTACTAGTGTCTCCTGCCACAAAACTGTTATTGTTACTTGGGTTTATTAAAATATTTTTTTATTTTAATAAACCCAAGATATGTGTTTGACTACAATCATTTTGATTTTCCTTAAAATCAAGAATTTCAGCATTATTTTGTTACCTTCTCCACATTTCTGTTGCTCCCTCTCCATCAAATAAATCTTCTGTATTTAGCAAGTCTACTGCATTGATAAGATCTGGGAACCAGTGATATCATGGCTAAAACCAGTACAGTATGCTCCAGTATGATCATCTTTATATTATATGTTATATTATACTGTCATACAGTATTTTCTTTCTTATTTGTGAATTTGAAATCTGTTTGGCAATTCCATTAAGGCAAGTTTGATTCCTCAGAATTCTAGGAAACCCTAACCCTAACCCTAACCCTAACCCTCCAAGTTTGGCAGGTTCCTTTGTCTACCTAAGACTGTAGGTGAACTTCTGATCCTATCAACTTTTTTATATGAATGCCATTCATAGTTTGTGTGTGGCTGAGGAAAAAAAGTGAAATCACTGGATCAGCTGCAGGTAGGACATTGTAATTCCCTGAATTGTACCAGGCTTATCACTTTCATCTTCTCTGGTTTTTCAGCTTAACAACTTACATGAAAAAGTATGTCTGTCAAAAACATCAATTGTTGTGAATGTATATAGAATTACCTCCAGATACTCCCATTTCCATGATGGCTCAACAGAGCCCTTTTTAAAGTTGTCTCCCCTTCAGTCTGAACATTCATCAGTCTTTTCAAGTATGAGCAATAGACTATAAATATTATCAAAAGTAGATTAAAGAAACGTTCATGTCAACCATTTTCAGCCAGAGGAAGTAAGCCTTTAAGAAATCAATGAATGTTAAGTAGTTAGTTTTGATTACTGTCAGGCTTCACATTAGGTACAGCTATAAATCTTGGCTCTCCAGATACTTAACTCCTTATTAGGTCTGGGCTTATTTGGCAGAAGACTCACAGACACAACTCAGCAAGATTAGGCTCTTTATTGTAGACAAGAATGTGAAGCTTCTTTTCTTCCCATCCATATTCCGCCACAATTAGTGCTCAGGCACAACAGGTTATCATAATCTCTGGAGTCCCTTTACAAATGAGATCATCCTGTATTTCATCTGACAGTTCTTTGTACTGATCAATTAAGCTTATTTTGTTCCAGTCCAAATTCTGAGTTAATACACAATTGAAACTCAGTAAATACTTCTGAACCAAATGTT